GAGAAACTACTATTTTTGTCGATATTACACATTCATGCAAGCGGTATAAAAATATAACCTCTTGAACACGATGGCCATACATTAACATTAACTTACGACTATCTTAGCGCTAAGAGAGCTTCGAAAATCTAGGCCCATGTATTTTCTGACAGTCTACGTCTTGCCATCTCAAGTTTACCTGCTCATAGGGCCTAAAAGATGCTGTGGTTCCGATTGCCCGACCGACCCTTGAATTCTGGAGCTGACACTATTTTTTAAGTGGTATGAATATAATAAGCTTTCAGATATCATTGTATTTCCCCGGCACTGACGGACATCGGTCATTCTGATAGAGAAAGCCAACATGATGGCTGCAAGCTTGATTGAATGAACAATTACACATTGATAAATGTGTTATTAGTTCGTACAGTACCAAAACAATCTTACCTACCTACCCTAAATTAGGTAATCTTTTATTTGGCCTAGGGTTGAGGGATTCGGCACAACCATGTGAAGTATATAGAAAGGCCTGATTTTAAGGAATGAAATATCCTTTTGAGTACGAGAACAATTACAAAATGTTATCACTGGCTTCAAACGGTATCAGAGTACGTTACTTTTTTTCTGAACGCCTGCTGTTATGACTACTTGTTTACCCGCGAAGGTCCGGGTTAAAATTGGTCTTCAGCAACTCATGCTTGTCAACACTGATAAATGTGTTTGAACATAAATGATGACTGGGCTCAGTGAATAAAGAGCAGAATACCTTGCACATGACCTTCAAGCTATTGAAGCCATTTATTATCAAGTATGTAAATAGACATGACAAAATCCTAAATGCTTGATGTTCGTTTGTAAACAATTCGAGTCTGGACCAGACAATCAAGTGATTGTCACCATGCGATACGATGACAGAGCATGTGTTTATGAATCACTATAAAACTATGTATCACTAACATAATTTAAAAACAGGCAAAAATGTTCCACTTGCACAAAGGTCTACCAAAGTAGCTAAGGTACATCTGGCTGACCGGCACACTGATATTCACAGTGAAATTTCTAAAAGTCCTTGATTATTTGATTGGGCGTAATTGGGAGACTATTACTGTCATTGATCTTGTGGTACAAATGAGTTACTGTCATTGATCTTGTGGTACAACTGAGTTACCTTCATTGGTCTTGTGATACAACCGACTTACCTTCATTGGTCTTGTGATACAACTGAGTTACTGTCAGTGATCTTGTGGTACAACTGAGTTACTGTCAGTGATCTTGTGGTACAACTGAGTTACTGTCAGTGATCTTGTGGTACAACTGAGTTACTGTCAGTGATCTTGTGGTACAACTGAGTTACTGTCAGTGATCTTGTGGTACAACTGAGTTACTGTCAGTGATCTTGTGATACAACCGACTTACCTTCATTTGGTCTTGTGATACAACTGAGTTACTGTCAGTGATCTTGTGGTACAACCGAGTTACTGTCAGTGATCTTGTGGTACAACTGAGTTAGTGTCAGTGATCTTGTGATACAACCGAGTTACCTTCATTGATCTTGTGGTACAACTGAGTTACTGTCAGTGATCTTGTGGTACAACCGAGTTACTGTCAGTGATCTTGTGGTACAACTGAGTTACTGTCAGTGATCTTGTGGTACAACTGAGTTACTGTCAGTGATCTTGTAGTACAACTGAGTTACCTTCATTGATCTTGTGGTACAACCGACTTACCTTCATTGGTCTTGTGATACAACTGAGTTACTGTCAGTGATCTTGTGGTACAACTGAGATACTGTCAGTGATCTTGTGGTACAACTGAGTTACTGTCAGTGATCTTGTGGTACAACCGAGTTACTGACAGTGATCTTGTGGTACAACCGAGTCACTTGTGAACCTGTCAGTGATCTTACCTTCAGTTGATCTTGTGATACAACTGAGTTACTGTCAGTGATCTTGTGGTACAACTGAGTTACTGTCAGTGATCTTGTGGTTACAATCTTGTGATACAACTGACGTTAGTCAGTGATATTGTGGTACAACTGAGTTACTGTCAGTGATTACTTCATTGTGATACAACTGAGTTACTGTCATTGATCTTGTGATACAACTGAGTTACCTTCATTGACTGACTTGATCTTGTGGAGTTACAATCTTGTGGTACAACCGACTTACCTTCATTGGTCTTGTGATACAACTGAGTTACTGTCAGTGATCTTGTGGTACAACTGAGTTACTGTCAGTGATCTTGTGGTACAACTGAGTTACTGTCAGTGATCTTGTGGTACAACTGAGTTACTGTCAGTGATCTTGTGGTACAACCGAGTTACTGTCAGTGATCTTGTGGTACAACTGAGTTACTGTCAGTGATCTTGTGGTACATCTGAGTTACCGACAGTGATCTTGTGGTAAAACTGAGTTACCGACAATGATCGTATGCCACAATTGAAGGATTTTGGTTCAACCGAAGAATACCAAGCACCTGCAACTAAATGAAGGAAACCCTGCGAGTAGACTTCGACAATTTTTCATTATCAACGTGAAAGGAAGAAACGGTGTAACATTCATCACCTCCGCTTCACGTACCCCCTACTCTACATGAAAGTACAAGGCTTATTGACGCGGATGCAGAGAAACTCACACTTTTTCAAACAGCAGCAAACCTCATCAAGACTGCCATCAAAGCTATGATTGCTACCCTGACAGAATACCCAGCCACTGACGAAATAGTTTCTCTGGAAAGTACTTCGATTTTGTTCTAGAATCTCGGCGTCTACAATCCATATTTTTGGAGAAGAATGCGGAAGCGAAACTTGTATCTTGTTCATGGCATCCCGGGCCATTGTCCAAATTGTCAAACCAAGGTATATCACTGCTATTCTTCAATTTGGATCAGCTTTGCAAATGTTCCACCATTTTGCATTTACTCGATGTACGGACATTATTATCGATGGGTACTTTATTCAGTATGTGGCAGATAATGGAGGTCATAACACTTGTACCCAAGATGGATTTAACACCCTCCATTGTAACCATCGCGACAAACACCTACACTCAGATGTTCAGCAACCTTAGGAGATGTTCGGTTGGGAAAACTGGTATTCACTTCTTTCTGGCTATTATTGTCTTTGATGCAATCAATGATGATGCTTATGAAGATCCATCGTGGAATTTAGATGCTTTTTGGAAAGTATCACTGCCATTGTTGGTCCAAGGATTCTATGGTACAGCATGATGGCTGTGTATTAGGGCACCACATCATCTATTGCGTTCTTGCCAATGATAGTATCATGTCCATTGTTGGTCCAGGGATTGGATGGTCCGACATGAACGCTGTTTGTACAGTTATTCACACATGCACGTCATCTATAGCATTCTTGTCAATGATAGGCATGAGTGAGTGAGTTTAGTTTTACGCCGCACTCAAACAATATTCCAGCTTTATAGCGGCGTTCTGTAAATAATCGAGTCTGGACCAGACAATCCAGTGATCAGCAGCATGAGCCTCGATCTGCGCAATTGGGAACCGATGACATGTGTCAACCAAGCCAGCGAGCCTGACCACCTGATCCCGATAGACGCCTCTTACGACAAGCATGGGTTACCGAAGGTTCATTCTAACCCGGACCTTCACGGGTAATGATAGGCATGAATGCCAGTGATATTATTTAGATATTTTGTGGAAAGTATCATTCCATTGTTGGGCCAAGGGTTGGATGGTCCGCATTGAAGAATGTTTGTACAGTCACTTTGGCATGTCATCTACTGCATTCATGTCAATGAAAGACATGAACGTCAGTGATATGATTTGGATTTTCTGTGGCAATTATCAGTGCCATTGTTGGTCCAAGGATCGGATAGTCAAAATGTTATAAGGTCAATCACATTGTCACCCTTGATCAACCTCTGCGGTTGACAGAGACAATAGTAGTTGCAAGTAAACCAGCAGTGATCAGAAAGTCCTTGTTTTAAGACTTGCTGGATTCCTCATTTCTAATGAGTTTTGCTTTCGCACCCTAATATCAGTTTCAGGTCTGCAAGATGTGCTTCAGAATGTACATGCCGCGAACAATATAGTGCATATGTTACGTGGAAAATTAGTTTCATGTGTGGAGTGTATTATATTTGGGGAAGATATTGTAAAATCATTCATTTTGCTTATGTATCATGATCATTGTTGTCTTTTCAATAAGATCTTGTCTTCATTTATAAAATGCTGCCAGATTTTTAGTCACTATGAACACAAAGCAGCGACAATGTTTAATAATAGACAACACTCATGATTATAGAGGTGGTCGGGGCATTTTATGAAAGGTTGATGATTATTTTCATTATGTGCTCTTCAGAATGTTGACATTAAAGCGTACATATTAAAGTACGTAGTACAGTATGTAGGCTATCTATTGCTTTGTAGATATCTACAGATATGTGAGGTCAAACTGTTCAGATGAATGAGGGAATGGGCAAAATACATGTATATTATGAAGTATTGTGTCTGATTATATTTAACCTTATGCCTTGTCATAGTCTTTTCGACAATATTGACTCTCCGTCAGACACACTGATATATATGCCCAAAATAGAAGGAAAACAGAAATATTTTACTGTTGAAATTCTTGACCTGTTTCTATTTCTACAATAATGTGTTTGCTTGCTTGCTTGCTCGCTCGCTCGTTCGTTCGTTCGTTCGTTCGTTCGTTCGTTCGTTCGTTCGTTCGTTCGTTTGTTTATCGACGCCCTCAGCAATTTTCCAGCTACATGACGGTCGTCTGTAATCACAAGACCAGATAATCCAGTGATCAGTAACGTCAGCGTCGATGCGCGTAATTGGGATTCGATGACATGCGTCGACCAAGTAAGCAAGCCTGAACACCCGACCCCGTTTATCGCCTCTTACGACAAGACCAAATCTCACCCGGATCTCCCATCGTTACATTGCTGGATATTGTCGATGTCATTTGAAACGTAACTCATTGTTTTGTTCAACTGCTACTTCTCCTTCCAACAAAGCACACGCATTTGGTATAATTCCTTTGAGACTGTTAACCTGTTTTATTTTTCATAAAACGCTATTAAGAGTACATTTCTTAGCATATAAAATTGATTAAAACAGGCATATTTGAACGTACCCTAAACTGCGAAAATTCTACTAATGAACAACCTGAGTACTGCATTTAAATTTGTATGTTTTACCCCAAAGGGTATAAAATTAAAGGATACAGCCACAAAAAGGGATAAAAGTTGTAAAGATAAATGAGAAAGTGAGCCATCACCCTTTTGAAAAGGGTATTATATCAGTGGGTGTGTATTTGTGTATTGTGTAACAGACATATTCCTGTATGTGAAGTTGTCTGTACAGACCACACCAGTGAGCGACATCGTGAATAACGACACCCCCTTCAGCTGGAGACGCTGCCAAATTCAAGCAAGGAAGTCACGACCCTTACGAGCGTATTTGGTCCATCACTTCTTATTACGAGAGTGGGTAGATCGGGACCAACAGTGTGCAATCCCCGTAGCAAAGGAGCAAACGAGTGACCACATGCCACAATCAGCAATATTACAGCTTTATCGTAGCAGCAATATTACAGCTTCATCGTCTCAGCAATCTTACAGCCTTATCGTGTCAAAATGTTATAGCTTTATCATTTCAGCAATATTACAGCATTTAGGTATCAGCAATATTACAGCCTTATCATTTCAGCAGTATTACAGCCTCATCGTCTCAGCAATCTTACAGCCTTATCGTGTCAAAATGTTATAGCTTTATCATTTCAGCAATATTACAGCATTTAGGTATCAGCAATATTACAGCCTTATCATTTCAGCAGTATTACAGCCTCATCGTCTCAGCAATCTTACAGCCTTATCGTGTCAAAATGTTACAGCTTTATCATTTCAGTAATATTACAGACTACGTCTCAGCAACATTACAGCCTTATCGTCTCAGTAATATTACGGATTTATCATTTCGGCAAACTTACCGCCTTTTCATTTCAGCAATATTACAAACTTATCATGTCAGCAATATTATGGCTTTATCATGTCAGCAATATTATGGCTTTATCATTTCAGCAATTTTATGGCTTTATCATTTCAGCAATATTATGTCATTATCATTTCAGCAATATTATGGCTTTATCATTTCAGCAATTTTATGGCTTTATCATTTCAGCAATATGACAACCTTATCGGGTCAGCAATATTACAACTTCAATATAGCAGCAACATTATAGCTCCATCATTTCAGCAATATTACAGCCTTATCATTTCAGCAATATTGCGTCTTTTTTGTGTCAAAAATGTTTCAGCTATATCATGTCAAGAATATCAACGCTTTATCATTTCACCAATATTACAACCTTATCGGGTCAGCAATATTACAACTTCAATATACCAGCAACATTATAGCTCCATCATTTCACCAATATTACAGCCTTATCATTTCACCAACATTGCGGCTATATCGAGTCAAAAATATCAACGCTTTATCATTTCACCAATATTACTTCTTGATCATATTCATAGTATTTCAGCTCCAAAGTGTAAGTAATTATCATATCTTTATCATGTCAAGAATATTCAATTTCAAATATGACAGTTTTATGATCTCAGCAGTATTAAGGCCTCGTACATGATACTTTAGCAGTATCAGCACACAATTTAAAAACTATATTTCAACAGTTCGTTCTCTTGAACTTCGTTTTTTGTTTCTATTCGGAATCAGAATCCAATACTTTCTTTAAAGAACAATCTATATACTTCGGTAAGCTAATAATAGCTACCCTCCTTTCCAAAATCCACTCATATCCTCTCCAAAATCCACCAAAATCCACACAAATCCTTTCCAAAATCCACGCAAATCTGGTCCATATTAATAAGAAATCTCTACTAAAAGCAAGGTCCATTAAACAATTCAGACAATGACAGAAAAAGTCTTAATGAAACTATCAAATACTGATGGTAAAGTAAAAGGGAAAAGCTTCGCGCTTGCTGTCCACCGAGAGCACTGCACAAACACATGCAAGGGCAAGTCAAGTGTCCATCGGAACACAATCTCCCTCCACATATCCACCATATTAGATTGCGAAACCTTTTCTGAGGCTTTGCATGTTGTAAACCGGGTTCAAAAACAATTCGACCAAAAGTCGTAAGACATGTTTGTTACATCTGCATCGTCTTTGCAGCATGAGTGAGGCTTTCTTGCTCTGCGGCGTCCATCGGCACCTCTTCCTTGTTCTCTTGTGGGATGAATGCTCTTGTCAGTTTCTGGAAACAAGTTCAAAAATGATCATATACAACCCATCAAAAGTTTAGACTCACTAAAAACCAAACTCACTATATGTTATGTATATACGTGTGGTTACATCGAAGATGAATTTCTCCACTAATTCGCCAATTTTCAATGAGTTTCATCATTTATTGAACACGTGACAATAAACTTTTCAACGTTACGAATTTGTTTCACAATACATAAGTTCATGTGTAAACAGTACCCTTAAACTGTACTGAATATTTTTGCAAAATCTAGTTTAGATCAGTTGACTGAAGTACGTGGCTATATTAACACTAGTGAGTCTAAACTTTTGATGGGGAGTAAATATGCGTGCATCATATGATAGCAAATCGTGCAAGTATAGACTTTCTGGCATTCAACTTTACCGTTTGTCTACCTTTGTTGGAAGACATTTCAAAGTCACAAAATCAGTATTCAGACACAAATGCTACAAAACAACAAAGATATTGAGTCGAGACAATGTTGTATTCTCAGATCTCCACAGGAGTCATTTCCCTCCAATGTTACATAGTTGATAGTCGAAATGAAGAAAAGATCCTTCAAGTGTCTCACAGGTGAAGTGAGTGAGTGAGTGAGTTTAGTTTTACGCCGCACTCAGCAATATTCCAGCTATATTAAAGGTCACATAAACCCTAGGGGGTACAAATACATAAATCACTAACTGGCATCGTTATAAATGAAACCCCGTCATTAAAACTACTCATTTCGACCTTTAATTGACTTAAATCGACCTTTTTGACAACAGTGCACAATTCTCACCCGCGAACGAAATTTCAACCAATCATAGCGGCGCGACTCTGTGACGTCATATGAGGAATAGCTTTGAGGGCCGATGCAGAATTCATCTACATTTTAGGGGGTAAATTATCTTGTTTACAGGCTTGTATAAACCTGAAATCGTGACAATTGTTGTGGAAAATGAAAGCTATATGTTCTCACAATCTGCTGTCATTTAATTTTGTCTCCTGCTTTGCCTAGTTTCCGAGTTACAACTTGTTTTCATAGACGATTCTATCAAAATCGATTTGTGTCGTTGGGCCCTATTTGTATAATGACTGATCCAAATTGATCCCATTTCTGTGTTTTTTTAACCTCGATATTTAATCATGTCATGTAAAAATCTGTTTGTATTCTCAAAACAGTGTCGGCCCATAAGTTTTCACATGCAATACAGCAATTAACACTCCCTTGTTGTAACCCGTGTTAGGTGGTATAAACCTACACATGTTATTTGTCATCATTCACTTGATGGTCAGTTAATGAATGTATAACAGGTATAATTAGTGGTAACACACTGGATTACCCGACAAAGGTCCCCAATTGGCATTTCTTGTGGTCTGGAGTAAATATTCAACATTATAAACATCGATCAAAGGATTAACCGATAACACGCTGATTGATTAATTACTTTTATCTTACACAGCGGAATTGTCAAAAGGTAGTGTTTATGTATGTAGATTTACTAATCTATACTGAATACACTCTGTCGTGCCGGTGTCTGCGTAAAAACAACGTCCTTCTTTCAAAGGATTAACCGGCAATACATTTATTGATTGCCCATTATTGGCTAACTAAAGTACTGTTTTTAAAGAAAGGCGGACATTATGCAATTAGTTGCCAGGTGTGCTATCTTGGGTGACAAATGAGACTATACACCAATACCTGAAAAGATTTATCACTTTTTCGTATATTAAACTGTTAAAAGACACATCATTTGGAACAGTTTTGTGGATATTGATGGATACATTCCTCGAACAAGGTAATGGCCTGATATTGTTCCTATAACTTTAATCTGTTTTAATTTTAATATTTGCATTTTGTTTTTATTCATTTGTCGTAGCATTCAACAGAATCATTGTTTTCGCCGTGAAGTGTAATGAGACAGACAACATACACTAGGGTGTGTGTGCGAATTATGATTCACATTGGCAAACTATAAAATGTCTAGATATTACAGTTCTGTTATAAATTCACTATAAGTATCAGCAGATCGTCTGCTTTTTATTTAGTTTCAAAATGCATACAAGTGTGATAATAAACTAATTAGGATTATAAGACCAAATATAAAGATGCACATTGACTAGTATCTACATACTGGTGAGTGGACATTAACCATGGGAATGTAGCAAGAAATTTATCGCGCAGTATTGTGACTTCGAACCCACCTCGCTTCCGTGAAAGAAATCGTTATGTTATAAGTTGTGTCATGCAAAATCCGTTTGGTTATGATTCCAATACATATTTAACTACGAGTAGAAAGTAGTCTTGATTTTCTAACTTGATGAAAACAAACTATAATCTCATTAATTCTAACAGATTTTATATTTTTAAAATGGCGGCGCCCTGTCGGGAACATCCGCCAGTCTGAGGATAAATGGTATTTAGGTTTGTTTTCACCGAGTTACAAAATCAAAACTACTTTCTACTGGTAGTAAAATATGTATTTTATTGATGGCCAATAAGATTTTGCATGACATAGCGTATATCATAACAATTTCTCTCGTGGCAGCGAGGTGGGTGTCAATATAATACTACTTACAATATTATTGTTACTTCGACCACAACCTCACTTCCGAGGAAGAAATCGTTATGTTACAAGTTGTGTCATAGAAAATCTTTATGATCATCAATCATATGCATATTTTACAACAACTAGTAAGTAGTTTTGATTCTTTAACTTCCGTGAAGCGATCTGAACACAAGTAAGATATCGTTTCAGGCTTCCACAACGCTCGCTTCGCACTCACAAACATAACCCATTTAGCACGAACTGCGGGGTCCTGTGGAAATCTGTGCATGGGGACACCATCGCCCGACCCCTAGGAGCAATTGACGACAAAGCAACGATTCGGCATGTCGTCGTTGATGTCGAGAAATCATCAAAATGATGAGCGTGCTACACATTTTCTATACAACTAACTGAAAATCGTTCCTCATATGACGTCACTGCAGTGCTCTGGCGACAGAGTTACGTAACCTGTCTGTGGTTTCGTTGGCGGGCGAGAGGGAAGCAGGCGACTTTTTGGCCACTTTTAATCGCTCGGTATTAATTAACCACAAGTTTTTAAAGAATAAATTTGGTGTTCCGCATAAGACTAACCACAAATCTTTCATATGTAATGATTAAAAGAGTAACAAAAAACAAAGTTTATTGGTTCTTTAAATATTCGAGTCTGAGCCAGACAATCCAGTGATAAACAGCATGAGCATCGATCTGCGCACTTGGGAACCGTTGACATGTGTCAACCAAGCCAGCGAGCCTGACCACCCGATCCCGTTAGTCTTACGACAAGCATGGGTTGCTGAAGGTTCATTCAACCCGGACCCTCAAGGGTCCATCGGTGAAGTACATGAAACATGAAAGACTACGTTGCTCTTTTCCATTTCCTAACCAATTTTTTGGGGGGATTTAGTCTTTAGTGAAATATATTTTGACATTACGTCAATATGTTACCTGCTTAAATGATGTTCCATCCGACTTATAAACAGAGTACACCATCCAACATGGCGTCGGCAGAACAATGGCTACCGATATAAGCCAGCCAAGCACAGTTGCCCATTCCGGATAGAAATAGTCGCCATATTTTGGAGGGCGGTACACGTAGAAGGCGTACACGAGTATAGTCTGGAAACATTTATAAGATTGTTTTAATATTCACACAAGCACAACTCATCACAAAGAACATCCAATAACTTAAACATCGGAAAAGATAGGTTATTTAGAGAACAAGATGAATTTGAGATTAGTTCATAAAGGTGTGAGCCCCTCGCAAAATTCTTGTATGTATTAACCTGTTAACGAGCAATGAAAATATGTGTTATTAGATAATATAAAATACAAACAAAGGTCTATAAAACGCCAGCAACATACGTTAAGCTATTACAATGGGAACCGAAAGGCTTTTCCCCTGATACCTGGTCAATCAATTCCTCAAGACGCTGGAGATTTGTGGCAATAAATTAACAAAGCCAAATTCACAATGATTACAGGTGAACAAAAACTTACTTAAAATGAAGTACAACATGCATACAAGTCAGTTAGGGATACTTCAACCCCTTTCGATCAAGGTTCAAGCGTAACATGTATGAATTGTGTACAACGAGAGAAAAGTAATTTACACTCTCATTCAAACTGCTTTAACATCAATCATATATCAATGGTACCCATGTTTCAGAGGTTACAATGCGTTGTTGTAATGGTATTTTATCCCTTGTGAAAAAAGCAACAGGGTCAAGCATAACATGAATTGCATGAATTGTGTCACAAGGGCAAGACAACGGATGATCCTCACCTTTCAACAACTATTCATGTGTATAACGAGAATAGCCAATATGACATCGTCGCAGAAAGACATCTTCATTTCTGGACTGACAACCCATGAACCCAAGAATAGTTGGCTTAATTTCATGAAGTGCATAAATATCTACGTGGGTGTCCTGCTTCCTTTGCATTAGATCTTTGACGTAACATCTAACAACAGGCTTGTAATCACTGTATGGAATGAGAAAGAAAAACGTACAAATGACATCTGTACAAGGTTCTCTGAAAACATAACGAGGCGACATGCGAGATACCGCCGACGTTACATTTGAATGCCACCATTGTTGTCCAGCAACTGTTCTGTCACTGTGAAAGAATATATGTTTTCATTTTATGACGTCATAAACAATGCAAAAATGTCGTCATGACGCAACGTGACGTCACATTGCTTCAACTGGCATTGGGGAGCACTAAACTGGCTCGTTATCGGAGAGTTTCAACACTTGACAGATATGAAGATATAACGGTTGTCAAGCAAATGGTTTGGTGGTTCAATGTTTCACTTTGAGGAGCAAGGAACACTTGCCGCAGTGGAAAAACGTGACGTCACATCGCTTCAGCTGACCACTCAGAATTAAGAAAACCCATAACGGGTTTTGAGTGGTAAGTCGTAAGACTAGGTCTTGAAAAAAGTACCCCACCATCAGCAGCCCCGGAGTGATGTATTTTGTGAGGAACGTCAACCATCTGGGAATGGTTTGGCCATACATCTCGACTGTGCACATGTTAATTCTGATCACACCTGTAACAAAAATCATAGATAATGTGCACACGGTTTACAGGGGCACGCAGGTGTCTGATGACGTCACTGGATTGTTGTAAATTATGTTTGTCTTCTGTTTCAGAGCAAAAGCGTAACACTGAAACATTGGAACAACAAATCTGTTTCTTAACAAATTTCTCGCTATTTCAATTGTTTGTATTGTTTTCAATTTCGAGAATTGCTATTTTTGTAAGTTAACACTGCTGAATGCATCTTCCATTGCTACGTTTTTAATGCTAAGTATTATATTAGGCATTCTATCCAGGCGTTACCGTTAAACACCATTCTTGAAGCTTTGAAATATATGTTTGGTTTAGAATTATATTATTGATACGAATCTGATTTCAGTTAATATATCTGGCTGAAACCATATGCAGTGATTGATATCATGAAGGCCTTACCAACCACCCAGGCCAGGACAACACACTCCACCACCCCAAAGAGCATCACAGGGGGCACAGCGGAGTACCAGTCAACGAGGGTCAGCATGTAGATACCACCCTGTTAAGAGAATATGTTACAGTCACAGGGGGCCATGTGAACACAAGATACCTTTCAGTTGAATGTGAGAATACGCTGCAAATATTCCACACATATACATGGCTATAAATGAGTTAAGGGATAACAGACTCACATTTCTTTTGTTATAGACAATGGTGGAATTTCATGCCACTTTTGGTCAAAAGTATATTGGCCAAGTTAATAGCATTTAGACTTTAGAAGCATGTTACTTATAGACATTTATTACAAAATGCCTGCATTATCTGAATCATCACAAACGTCGAAATAATACGTTTTTAGGTCTTACAATATGCCTGAATTATTCAAATCATCTGTTGGTTTGTTCAAATTCGTTTCCCATTTTATGCTGCTTCACATACCAAGCCCAGTAGGTGATCTCCCTTAAAGGGACGGGCTGACACTGTTGATGTGTATTGATACGACCATGTGATATATGATGAAATCAATACCTGTGTAGTATACGGGAGGGTAAGAATGAAGGAAGGAAGGAAGACGAGAAGGAGAAGTAGCCAACGGCGTTTAGTCAGCTTAGGGAACCGGTCACCGATTGCCTCCGACAGTATCTCCAAACTCGGCATCTGGGAAACATAACGACTTTCAAAAATTAACATACACAACAAATATACAGGTATATATGTGTTATTGCAGGGTGCAATTTCGGGGTTTTTTTCAGTACCTGCACCGAGTGCAACCTGGCTTACAGGTTTCCCTGCATCATCAAACTTTTGGTTGCACCATAACCTAATGTCACTGGTTCTATTAAGTGACGTAAATACATGTTTAGCAATTTTCAGAACAATTACTCAGTATCAGATACATTCAACAGAACGTAATCCCGTAATGATAAATTATTAATTATTATGTTTCAGTTTGCATTACCGTTATTTATAAATCTCAATTATATGATTACAGCTACGTAACTGATTAACACAAATGTTTCTGCTTGTAACAAGTTGACACGTAACTCTTCCAGCCACTTACTTCCCCATTAAAACACACAATGACAGATATAAGATGTTGGAGGATTTATTGTTACCTGCCTCGGGTGCAACCTGTTACTGAAGGTAACCTGCACCAGTTGTAAATAGCGAAATCGCACCCTGAATTCAGTCAGTCATTCATTCACATCAGACATAACCGGTCTTTTTCTGGATATAGTATCATTCTAAAATATTGTTTTATCGAGATATATCCGTTTAAATCAGGACTGAAAACAATATGATATAAAGCAGTTTTACAAACCGTTGTATCAAGTCCTAAAGTCATCATCATCACGAAGACAAGCACAGACCACAGCTGGGGTAAGGGGAGATAAGTCACTGCTTCCGGTAACACCGAGAACGCCAGATTGAGGCCTGAAGGTGCGAGAAAGATGGTTGCATTTGCAAATGTGTATGCCTCTTACAGTGAAATTAGATACCCTGTGTAAAGACGTTAACGTATAATGTGCTGTTATGGGTTACAATTGGTCAAAGGATAACTGTGTGTACGCTTAAGGTGATGCTGGATTTTAGAATTGGTCTCTGGCAACCCGTGCTTTTCGTAAGAAGCGACTAGGGTTTGGGTGGTCAGGCTAGCTGACTTGGTTGACACGTGTCGTCGTATCCAAAATGGCAAAATGATCCATATTAGAATCTTCAAAAAACCCATGCATATCGTAAGAGGCTAGTAAGGGGATCTGGTGGTCAGGCTCGCTGACTTGGTTGACACGTCATCGTATTCCAGTTGGCTAAATCGATCCGTATTAAAATCGTCAGCAATCCATGGTTATCGTAAGAGGCGAGTAAAGGGATCATGTTGTATTCCCCAATGCGTGTACAGATGCTAATGATGGCAATCACTGGGTTGTTTAGTTCAGAGTTGATATTTACAGACTTTACTTAGATAAAGTGTTAAGTGTGCCACAATTAACACAAACAAACAAACAAATAAATATACTGACAAACCTGAGGACTGGAAGTCGTTCATGCTGGCTCCGGTCACGTACGCCATGTGCCCCAACACCGTGAAGATGGACAGTCCACAGTAGATGGTTATCAGAGGGTCAACGATACAAGCAATCAGCGCCAGTCTGGTGATACGATGGCAATATAAAATTATGAATCGGATCAAATAGAATGTGTGTTTGTTTGCTGTTTAACGATGTTCTGCAATACAGATTGCCAAGGCGGTAGGGTGGCCTAGTGATTAGAGCGTCTGCTCGTCACCCGATGACCTGGGTTCGATTCCCCAAGTGGGTCATGGTTGAAGTCAATTTCTCCGCCAGCCTGATATTGCTGGAGTAGTGGTAAAAGCGGCGTAAAACCATACTCACTCATTCACTCACACACATACCTGTAGCAGTTGCTGTTTGGCTGGTTGTGACTGGACACTGTGTTTGCAATCCCCTTGCTTGTCCCCATTGAATGAAGAGCGTAGCCACAAGCCTCTATCCATATCTGTAATGGGAACATGAATATACCTCAAATAGAACACCAACTCCTTTCAAAATAAATACAGACACGTGAAGATCCGGGGTAGAATTCATCTTCAGCAACCCATGCTTGTCGTAACAAACGACTAACGGGATCGGGTGGTCAGGCTCGCTGACTTGGTTGACACATGTCATCGTATCCCAATTGCGTAGCTACATGCTCATGCTGTTGATCAATGGATTGTCTGGTCCAGACTCGATATTTACAGCTGGAATATTGCTGAGTGTGGCGTAAAACTAAACTCACTCACTCAAACGTGTACATACAACGTGTCCAGATATAGCTGGGGCGGTAGCCTAGTGTTTAAAGCGTTCGCTGGTCAAGCCGAAACATTGGTTCGATTGCCCACGTGGGTGCAGTGTGTGAAGCCCATGTCTGGTCTTCCCTGCCGTGGTATTGCTGGAATATTGCTAACAGCGGCGTAAAAACACACTCACTCATACCAAATACAGATGCATGATAGGCTTACTCCGTGGTTAAACAAGATGCTGACAATTGGGCCCGTCAGTAGATCACGCGAGACCTTTGTACTTCCGGTGACAAACCTTTTCGAATGGTGTCATGGCTGTCAGTTGACAGTAAGGAATCCATAATCCTTCCAGGAATAACAAATTTCCAATCCAACCATCCCCAAATTAGCCAACTATCACGACTTGCGTACACTTGATCCGGACTTGTAAAATCATATTTGGCGGTCGCGCAATCTGGAACTAGAACTGCTTCTTCGATATAGTCACCGGAAATCTGATACCGGAAGTAAGCTGGGCACCGTCTCGCATATCGCAAGTTGGCGCTCGCAAAGGGAGTCGAAAACCAGCTTAGTACCGGAAGTAGCGCCTCGCAAGACTTACAGGCCCTATGTTAGAAAAGAAACCTCTATAAACAGTCACACATGTACAAAGACCACACACTTGTAACTTGCAGACACTGAAACTCTGAACCTACTGTGGGGCTTGCCAGCTTTGTAAAGTCCGGTTTCAACATGTAAAGAAGTCCGTCTATTGCCCCAGGCAGCATGGATCCCCGGATGAGTATGATGGTGCACAGAAGGAGCGGGAGCATAAAAGTCACGTACACAATCTGGAATGAAATCCATTCAAAATGAATTTATTTTTTACATTTCTGTACAAACTTCACCTGATCACTTACACTCTTCTGTCTCACTGGATACAACATCTTCAGTCGTTCTCATTTAAAATCTAAACAAATCTGTGCACTCAAACACCGTTGTGTCGAAGTTGGAGTGAGTGAGTGAGAGAGTTGGATTTTACGCCGCTTTTAGCAATGTTCCAGCAACATCACGGCGGGGGACACAATGTACCCATGAATCGAACCTGGGTCTTCAGCGTGACGAGCGAACGCTTTAACCACAAGGCTACCCCACTGCCCCCGCGTCGAAGTGAGAGGGACCTACATTGATGTTTCGATATCCGGCACAACCAGAAATCATGAACCCGCAGACACCAAGCTTTTTCTTTCAAAATCGCATTCGACACAACTGTGTTGATCAGTTTCGTCCTCTGATCACTTCAACAATAAACTAAATTCTAATTTACTTTTATTAAAAATATAAAACACGACAACAGAAGAAGGTGAAGAAAGGGGTGATTGTGCATTTTCGTTTTAGTTTTCGTCCAATATTTAAACATTACCTTTCCCGCAACCCGGATGCCCTTGACCAACATGATATACATTGCAACATAGGTCAAAGCCAGGCAGCCGAACAATGGCCACCGAATGGAACCTAAATGGGCGAGACCGCTTGAGATATCCAGTGCATTAAACCTGAAACAGTTATGTTCAGTTAACAAACTATATTGCAACTAAAAACGATTATTTGTTTGTTTGTTGTTTAATGCCTCAGCAATATTCCAGCTGCATGACGTCGGTCTGCAAAATAATCGAGTTTGGGCCAGACAATCCAGTGATTGACAGCATGACCATCCAATCCCGTTAGTCGTCTCTTACGACAAGCATGGGTTGCTGAAGACCAGTTCTAACCAGGTCATTCACGGCTATAAAACAATTCGCAACAGTTGTTGCACACAACAAAACTGTTTTTCCGTAGCATCTGAACATGGCGAAAGAATGGACCGTTTTTATACACAAAGCGAAACTAAATATGCCTGAACAAAACTTGCTGTCTGATCAAAATATAGTATTCCCTCACCCACACAATCTGTCTTCGTATCCAAAATAAAAAGAATATTGCTATATCTAGCACATTTTACATTAACTTAATGGCATTGTAATGTCTTATGTATCTACAGACAAACACCGTTATGTCGAAGTTCAAAGAATCTCGGTAAATAGATACAAATAAATAAATAAATAAAGGGACACAGTCTTAAAAAATAAATGAAGAAACAAATGAATAAATGAATGAGTGAATGAATGAATGAATGAATAAAAATAAATAAATATATAAAGGGATACAGTCTTAAATTATAAGTGAATAAACAAATGAATAAATGAATGAATGAATAAAAAAATATTAATAAATAAATAAAGGGACACAGTCTTAAAGAATAAATGAATAAACAAATGAAAGAATGAATGAATGAATGAATAAATAAATAAATAAATAAATAAATAATGCTCAGGGACACAGTCTTTTCTTTGACACAACTGTACGTTCGACACATCAAACTTCGACACAAACGTTTTTGTCTGCATTGTGCGTAACCTGCCTCCAGAATTCTTCAGTGGCGCTGGCAACACCATCAGTGGACATATTCAGGAGATCCAACTTCGTAGTGTTTATGTCACCTTGCAGATACTCAGTGCCATTCACCGTGGTGTTCATCCCAGCATGCCGCAGCGTCGACTCCACACAGCTGGGCGTGTTCCAGGAGTTGCCACACGTGGACCATGGTAAGGGGTTGAAGAAGGAGTTGAAGAAGAAGTAGAGGTACCAGGAGAAGTACATGGACGTGTACATGGCGTACACCCACGACACCAACGCCGACCCAAAACCCAGACCTGGTCGAATGATGCAGATCATTGGTGAGATATTTAACGTTAAGTGAGAATTTCAACAGAATACATTCGCAGTAAATCCTCCTAAACAAAACAAAAATAGCAATATACAGTTCATGAAAGGCATTTAGATGTTGGACGAACATGAATGCATGGCACGGTTTTATAGATAAGAACTTCTTTTTTATTTTGTGTTCGAATAAATAATAAAAAAGAAGTTAAAAACGTGTCATGTATCTAAATGTATCAATTACAAAAGCACCTTAACATCTGCCCAAACGGTGTATAGCCATTTGTGACAAGCCTTGAGGACCTTTCGACCCCAAATTTGCCATATTCAAGACCACACACTTTCAGAAATTACCCTTTGGAACATGTTCTTTAGACCCGATTGTATTGGTGTGGCTCTTACCATCTATATCTAGAATACGATGTTACCATGGATCTCAGACTGCAGACACAGATTTAAAACAAGACCGTGCAGTAATGAGACCAGCTCAACAGATCGGGGCCTAAATTTTCGAAGATCTCTTAGCGCTAAGATAGTCGTAAGTGTCATACATAAACATCAACTTACAACTATCTAAGCGCTAAGACAGCTTCGAAAATCTAGGCCCTGGTAATTAGTATATGCCGCCTCCTTGTCAGATCGAAATTGAAATGTTGATAGCGTAAAACACACATAGGACTAAACACCCAGAATCCAGTCTGCTGAAACTGAAGTAAAAACCCACCTGACAAACCATTTAAGACAGCGTTTAAAATTCCCGCCTGCCCGACCGTCCGGAACGGTCTATTTTCATCTCGGACGGTCAAATTTCAAAAGTAGCCTGTCCGGTGGTCTGGTAGATGTTTTTCCTCCTAACAGTATATATTTCATGATATCAAACAGGTTCTTGTCTTCATTTTTTAGGTGTTTACGGTATTTTGATAATTATGTTAAACTACCTACGATTGGACAATTCATTTTACAATAACCAATCACAACACATGTACCTTCAGTTTACCTAAACTTGGTGCATTGCCTGTTAGTGCTATGTTGTTCATTACGATGCATACAGACAGTAAAGTATTCAGAAACCTAATTTCTTTGGTTTGTTTTTCATTGTTGAAAACCGGACAGGCAAGTTTGTATCCGGACTGGTAATGCTCATTTTACCTCAAAAATAAGTTTGAACATGTTTAATACCACTCAGTTTATTCACCGAGGCAAAGAATTCAGCAGCTTAAAAACAATGGCAACCACTAAATGTAAATCGGTAAATGTAAAATTATACATCTTATCACAATTAACAATAAACAACATCTAATAAATAATCTCAAAACGTCAATACCTTTCATTGCGGGGCAAAATTTCCACACCTCAACTGGACCTCTCTGGTAGTACTGCCCGATGACAACCTCTTGGAAGTACAACGGAAGTGAACAGAGACCCACAAAAAGCAGATAGGGAATCAGGAAGGCGCCTGAAAGGAGGACAAATTGTATCATTGCGTGAGTGAGTGAGGTGTTCCCACGAATACTGAAGTCTAGTAAAGCGGAGACATGGGGAATCGGCTTCAAAGACCACATTTTCGGGGGAATTGACACTATTCTATTGAGTCCAATTTGAGAATTAAATGAATTTTCGTGCGTTCAGATATGGACAATTTTCAAAACAGAAATATGCAAGTTTCAATGCAAACCTACACACCTTGCCGATTGAATCATAAGGAGTTTATTGATTTTGAAAAGAATATACGTCACTGAAGTTGCTATTCAAAAGTATGATTATATTCCTCATGTTTTAAAAATCGTCTTGGAAATTCAAAAAATGGATTACACTTCCAACACTCGGATGATATCTGTCTCTAAAGAATACTGGTAAACATCAATAAGAATATATGCTTTTGGTTATTTCGTTTACGACTTTATTCAAATTAAACGTTGGTTTTGGGCATTCAGCCTGATTGTTTGTTTTGTGTGTTTGTTGTTCAGCAATATTCCAGCTATATGACGACAGTGTGTAAGTAATCGAGTCTGGACCAGACAATCCAGTGATCAACATTATGAGCATCGATCAACGATGACATATGTTAACCAAGTCAGCGAGCCTGACCACCGCTAGTCGCCTCTTACGACAAGCATGGCTTGGTGAAGATCAATTCTAACCCGGATCTTCACGGGTGACACCTAATGATCAGGTACACGTACCTCCGCCGTTTCTTGCGCACAGGTAAGGAAACTTGAGAAGTGTTCCCTCCCCAACACTGTAGCCCAACAAGGTGACGATGCCATCCACTCGATGTCCCCATGTCTCTCTTTTTTCTGTAAGTGTCAAATGTACATATAAAAGCGACAAAATTGTTTCCATATCCATAAGAAATCTCTTCTTAAATCAGTCAGTTGTACGAGTCCGACTATACCATGAATATGTGTTTGTTTGTTTCTGTTTAACGCCACACTCAGCAATATTACAGCTTGGCAGCAGTCTGTAAATAATCGAAGTCAGACCAGACAATCCAGTGACTGACATTGCGAGATACACAGAACAAGAATCACTATCACACAGTGATGATACCAGTTCTTTAAATAACATTTCTTTGTATCATGTGGTTGGAGAGAGTTCAGTTTCATAACTCTGAATAGAATGTGACCTTTACGCTAAATGGAATCTATAACTGAAGATGGTCAAGACTTGGCATTCATTAACACGTTTTGAATGTCACAGATAATTCCATTGAAAGCGACCCAAAACATAACCAATGTTTATTTTTTGATCAATGAGACACGTTTTTGCCATTTTTTGCTTCCCTGAATAAACTACAGGTTTTACGTTCTTTGGGGGTTGAGATTTGTCATTGAAATATTCCTTGAGGGTCAATGTATCCAGATATAATTGAAATTGAGGTTTGGATAAGTTCCTTTGCTATGGTTAAAGGTGATAGTATGACAAAACTGTGGCGTTGTGATACTCTTCCATATGTGCATACATCAATGATCTGATATCATTTATTATTTATGAAGTGTCATATTCCCTTTCCACTGACATTCATCCATTTCACGAATGAAATCTTATTTTACGTTACCAAGCCATGTCGTTATCACAAGTCGATGCGATGGCCCCAAAGGAAAATCAGAGATCAATTTCATGTTATAAACATAAGATAAGATAGATAAGATAAGATAATTCTTTATTGTCCCAAGAGAAATTTGTTTTGCATCATACGTTCTCCAGTTTTTCATTCATAAAGCAGCCATACATAACATTGCAATTGGTAATCATGAAATAATCAGGATATAAATACATCAATTTAGTACACAAACATAAACATTGAATAGAATTTTGACAATTAAAAGACAAGTCATTCACAAAATTTCAGCTCTGTAACTAAGTTCTGATTCCCTAATAAGGCCTACCAACGCAGCAGCATCCGCGAATTTGACTGTAAAACATGTTATTGTGTTGGATACACAGTCATTGGTGTACAATATAAACAAAATTGGTGAAATGACGCAACCTTGTGGAGCGCCAGTTGATGTGTTTACAGTTGATGATTTCACATTATTAACCTATCATAGTAGATGGGATAATAGCATCTTTATCATGATATATTTAAAGTCATATTTAAAGCTTGAGAAGTCTCGTCATGCGAGATATCCCAAGTCAAATCACCCACATACCCTTTTTCATCATGGCCTCTATCAGCTGGCGTGTCCTTAAGTTTCGAACTATTATTTGCTTTTTATACAAAATGAATCACAATTGTCCAATCACAGGGTCCGCAGAGGCGCATACATCTGCAGTTCAGCACATGCCGAATAACCGCGTGGATGGTTTGGACATGCTCGATCAACCGCAACCATAGGTGTCGAATAACAAACAGGAGTCGGGATGGGAAGTCACTCAAGACAACACAAATGTGCTCGAATGTACACATGTGTTGCCCCCACCTCCGATTTCGAATCCTATCCCAAATCTTACTCGTCAAATGGCGATTCCACAGACGAAGGATCTTACTTTGAGCCCGCTCTAAATGAACAGGTGAATAAAGGGATAGTTCCTTCTAAATTATGAAACGGTTGATGATTGCGTCCCATTTTCATTGGCCGATGCTAAAGACCAATCTGAATTAGATGTTTGATTGGCATTTTAGAAGATGATTTTTGATGAACATAGAGAATTTTCAACAGGTTAGCCCAGCTAATCGAAAGCTAAACTTGGATCTTATGGTCCTCAAGGAATCCCTTATAGGGGGTCATCTGGGACCCTTGATAAATAACTGGCAAAAGACCACTTCAGATCCATGGATAATTCTGACACTTTCAGGTTTCGAGTTTTCTCTGTTGTCGAAACCAATTCAGAATCATGTGTAACGACCAAAACTAAAGCTCAGAAGACGGATAGCTTTGAGCCAGGAGATCCAGGAACATGTGATAGAGGCTGTTCCCCAGTCTGTTTCCATGGACCCAGGTCAGGTTCAAAGGTCATATGGTCATAGTTATCAAGTGGGAGGGGGGTGGGGGTGGCAGAGGCCAATTATAAATCTCAAGGCCATGAATACTTACATTCCTTACACACACTTCAAGTTGGAATGACTTGTCCCACATGGGTGACGACCTTTGCGTGTTGGCTGTAAGGGATGCTTACTTCAGCGTTCCCACATGAAAAAGCTTCTCCACTTCTCTTGGAAGGGCGTTTTGTTTTAATTACAGTGCATACCATTTGAACTTGCCCAGGTCCAAGATCATTCATAAAACTTCTTCATCCAGTAGTACAATTGGCTCATCGAGCAGGCACCAGCCTGATTATATACCTGGGCGATATCTTGTGTATAGCGGAATCGCTGCCCCTGCTGATTCAATACAGGGACACCCTCCTCTTTCTTCTCCAGTCTCTAGGCTTTGTCATAAAGTGGAGGAAGTCAGTTCTGTCACCAACCCAGTCAAAGTCAGCCAGCCTGCCCAAGGTCACAAAGCAGATTTGGGGTTTCTGCCTCCAACACCATCTGTTCTTAACAGCAGTCTTTCTGTGCTGGGGAAAGACAACGTTCATGCGGACTAGGAGCCTCGCCACTTCAACGACTCGAGCGATTGGGTGTTCAATCCAATCATCTTTGCTCAATGCAACCTGATACTGAGCCCGTTTTCAAAGAATATTTTTGCAACGGGACTCATTTTCCAAATGAAGCCTTTTTGCAGCTGGAAGCCAGACCCCCTTGTGAAATCAACAGTGGAAATTCAGAACCGGCTGCTCAATGGTGACCTGGCACACAAGGCGCTTACAATACTTACAGTAGGTGGGTGTTGGCTTGTGCAATCAACAGGGTTTTGATACCTTTACAGTCACTGTGAAGTCTGTCTTGGACGTTCTCACTCACTTGTAACATGAGAATAATCAGTACAGGACCATAACTAAGAACTGTTGCATTGCTAAGATTTAGTTTCATTCCAGGAGCTGTATTGAATCTATGTCAGTCTTAACAGATTTTAAAACACATTACAGTTAGGTGTTTGAATGGCATTTAGAAGTGATACACATAAGGAAGCGAATTTTTATGGAAACGTTGTGTTCCTCATAATAAAGAAACGCTGTGTTCCTAATAAGAAAGAAACGTTGTGTTCCTCATGATAAAGAAACGCTGTTCCTCATAATAAGAAACGTTGTGTTCCTCCATAATAAAGAAACGTTGTGTTCCTCATAATAAAGAAACGTTGTGTTCCTCATAATAAAGAAACGTTGTGTTCCTCATAATAAAGAAACGTTGTGTTCCTCATAATAAAGAAACGTTGTGTTCCTCATAATAAAGAAACGTTGTGTTCCTCATAATAAAGAAACGTTGTGTTCCTCAATAAAGAAACGTAATAATAAAGAAACGCTTGTTCCTCCATAATAAAGAAACGTTGTGTTCCTCATAATAAAGAAACGTAATAAATAAACGTTGTGTTCCTCATAATAAAGAAACGTTCCTCATAATAAAGAAACGTCCCCATAATAATAAAGAACGTTGTGTTCCTCATAATAATAATAAAGAAACGTTGTGTTCCCCATAATAAAGAAACGTTGTGTTTCCCCCATAATAAAGAAGAAACCCCCCATAATAAAGAAACGTTGTGTTCCTCATAATAAAGAAACGTTGTGTTCCTCACAATAAAGAAAAGTGAAAAGTTGTGTTCCTCATAATGAAGAAACGTTGTGTTCCTCATAATAAAGAAACGTTGTGTTCCCCATAATAAAGAAACGTTGTGTTCCCCATAATAATGAAACGTTGTGTTCCTCATAATAAAGAAACGTTGTGTTCCTCACAATAAAGAAAAGTTGTGTTCCTCATAGTAAAGAAGTTGACACCCATAATAATTTTCTTCTTTACATTACAGTTATGAAGTTATCACCCGATTCAACCAAGTCATAATTGCTATGATTTTTGCCTGCAGTTGAGTGCCGTGTGGGTGGACCAGAGCTGAGCTGGACAGGAAGAGGAGTGTGCTCCATCGGATGACTTTCGTTGTCTTCACTGGTGAATTGGCATTTGATTCCATATATAAGGTTTTTGATCTCATTAAAATGTGTTTTCTTTACTTTGTGTTCTTTCTAATTTCGGCCCTTATGAAGAAGGGTTTGAGAGTAATTTGTCTCGCGAGATCTATGCAAGCTTTAAACATGACCTACTTCCATATATCGAACTCTCTTTATTCCAGTACTGAAGAGGCCACAGACCTAGGTCTGATAACAATAATAATAATAATAATTCCGGATATGATGAAGATACAAATATCAAATCTTGTATGTTTACAAATGAAATTACACTTTAACTAACACACTATGTGAGCTTGTGAAATTTCCAGTTTCGAAATATTTATGGAAACTGTTCTGTATTTCGATCTACCGCATATATATGCATAACGTGAGCATAACAACTAATTGAGTAAGTGTCTCGGTGTTTAACACGGTAGGAATGCACAGTCGCATATACCAAGTTTGACAAAGATCAGATATGACGTAATAACCAGGTTTGCTGACCTACCTGAGGGAACACTCGTCTTTTCTTGGTCTTCGTTGGACATGTTGGAATTGTTGTTGGTCCCGTTTCCTTTCCCTGTAAAATAATGAGTTACAATGTAATATTTCACAATCTTGTTTAACGTCATGTGAACGAGGACAAACAGTTCCAGATATTTCAAAGAGCTGTAACACACTCAGATGGAACACTAATTGTAATTCGTTATAACCGTAGTTCGTTATAAGCATTTTGACTAAAATATACAGTGGTCGGGACCAAAATAAGAGTTCGTTATATATGTCTGTTCCTCATGAGCGAATTCAGGACCAGACAACCCTGTGATTGATACTTTGAAAATCAACAGAGGCATTAAACTGGGTTAGGAGTAGTAACTCATGCTTGTCGTAAGAGGCGACTATTGGGATCGGGTGGTCAGGCCGTTGACTTGATTGAAACATGCCATTGCATCTCAATTGCGTAGACCGATGTTCATGCTGTTGATCACTGGATTGTCTAGCCAAGGCTCGATTATGTACAGACCGCCATATAGCTGGAATATTGCTGTGTGCGGCGTTAAAACTCAAAGGAAGAACATCAAACTACTTACTGGATTTCAGCCCAATCATATTGTAGTGCAACAGTTAAGGGATAACTGTACTGTGTTTGACGAATTGGGGACGAATTGGTCGCCGATATAACTACATTTGTGGCTATATAACCATCGGTATACGTTCACAATTTGTCAAACACAGTACAGTTATCCCCATTCTATTTCAACTCGTTTTACGCTGTTTTTTTCGTGAAAGAAATTCATTATTTAAACCAGGTTAATGATATCACTCATTGAACTTACACCATCGACAGAAAAGGTAGTTCCCGCTTTAAACTTTAACAAGCTGAATAACAAGGCAAATAATCACAATAAAAACATGTGTATTATGTGCACACTGACAAAATCTGACAATCATGAATAAATCATAGCAAACATTTGTGACGTCATGATAACCTTGACCTTCACACAACGTGGCAATCTGCTATTCGACGTCGAGGCAAAACAGTGGAGATGTAGATAAACGATATCATGAAGTTATTTCACTAGGGTGTCATCTCGGCGATATTATTAAAGTTAACTTCTTTTTGTTTCAAACATACCAAATAACGTAATCAGTGCTAGGTCATTCCTTATTTCCAACGGTAACATGAACAACATAAAAGCTCCGATTGGCGTGTTTAAACTGTGTTAGATCTACATGTTTACAATGTGGGCTGGGTCGAAGCGTTTGGTTAAATATTTTGTTATTTAGGCCACATGCTTAGTATCAAGGGTACTAAAGTAATTGTACCCATTGACTAGGGGTGGGTATTGCAGAGAATTTTCATATTGCGATATATTGCGATGCAAAAGCGTATATTGCGATATGTATTGCAATATATTGCAAGAAGGTTTTTTCAACAAAAAAATACGTATAATCGAGTTAATGCTTGATTTATAGAGCGAAAACACAGCAAAATTACTTTGCTTGATTAAGATTTAATAAAAAATCTTTTTGTAATCATGACAAAAAATATCAAATGTAAATAAAATTTGAAGACTACAAATAAAACAGGGAAAGGAACACTTCACTTACAAAAATCGGAAATATCCGAAGTTTTCCAAGAGTGTTACGAAGTTTTCCGAATTCAAGTCATAATAACGGTTTTCGATCAACGTATCGCAATACGTATCGTTTTCATAAGTTTGAACCGGTAAATATTATTATTATTAAATAAAATTTGGCGGTAAACCGGTTATATTGCGCAGCACTACTAAAACCGTAATTGTACCCATTGACGTGTGTGTTGTTCACTTCAGTTTGCTTCAAGAAAGGTAGAGTGGTAGAGCTCACAGATAGTGTTTCTTGGTATCAGTGTTTTGATACAGGAACATTGTTGCCACCCTTGCCGTGTAGGATAGAAGAGTACTGGTATTTCTGAACATCGGTATTACCACTTTCCAATGTTTCATCGTAATTGATAACAAAATCACCGTAATCTAAGCTAGCCTTCTCGCTTGATTGACAGGTCGCCATCTTTGTTTGTAAGCAACGGGTGTAGGGATACATTCAAAAGTTTTGGTGAATCGGTTTTTAAATTGCGACCGCATATGCTGATTATACGGTCGGAAATTTATAGCATTGCCCAATCAGAATTCGTGTTACACACTAAGTTGAATTAGAATGGATGTTAATGTGTCCCATGCGTCTACAATCTCATCAGTCAGTTTCAGCTGACAGGCAAACAGAAGAGACCTATATTCACACAAGACTTCATCGTATTCCGCAATGAGGAAGTTATCAGATATTAAAATACAAGTTTATTGCACCAGATTACATATTACTTAAACGTATTGATTATCTGGCAGCATAATCTAGAGTGTCTTTAATATAATGCTATTTTTACTTTTAGATTGATTTATCATACTGAACGTAGAAGGATAGTCAGACAGATACTGTATTAAGCCTAACCTCGTACAACAGATGCAATACTGTATTGAGTCAATCAACAGGGTGACGAGGCACCCATTTAGGGTTATGAAAAACTATATACACCAATAGGTTTCTAAAATAATACATATACAACTAAAATATCCCACTTTAGCACTGTTGTATACATCGGTACGTAATGTTTTCCATTCTTCTGACAAAGGTTAGCAGTTTGGGGCGATAAATACCTCAGTTTAACGCTGGACGCAATAAAAGAAAGTTTTTCATCGTCCCTTAAAGCATTATAACATAATACAGCTTTAACTGACCTATAAACATTGCTAAGGCACATGCCATCAACTGTCTTAGACAGGTGTCATCTACTTACCACCTAGCAACACCTTCCAAAGCCCTTCTAGCGAGTATGGTTGAGGGTGACACTGGTTTAATACCCTGGAGCAAAAGCTCATACACAGTTTTGTCACGTGAAAGTGCACATATTTGATTGGAACAGTTGACAGTGTCATGCATGCACAATTTAGATCTACACAGTACATTCAGGTCACGGGTCATTTATGAAGATTACAGTATAAACAATAAGGGTGTCCCCGTGAAGATCCGGGTTAGAATTGATCTTCCGTAAACTATGCTTGTCTTAAGAGCCGACTAACGGGACCGGGTGGTCAGTCTCGCTGACTTCGTGGACACATGTATCGGTTACACCTACTTGGGTTGTCAGTTCAGGTTTTAAGGTCATTATGCGCAATGTGGTATCTGCCTCTCACGGTATATACACGAATACTTATAAAAAGGTGAGGATCTTCCATTTTGAATCAACTGTGATGAAAGAATCACGGCCAAGCATGTGCTGCTTGACTGTGTTTATTTTTCCATCACAAGAGATAAATATTTCAGTAGGAAAACAGTCACAGATATTTTCTACAATGTCGGTTTTCATTTAATTATTGATGTTTTAATTAAAAAGATTTGTTTGAAACATATTGATGGATATCTCTTGTAAAAAAGCACAATCGCCAACGCTTATTAAAGTAAACTTCTTTTTGTTTCAAACATACCAAATAACGTAATCAGTGTTAGGTCATTCCTTATTTCAAACAGCAACATGAACAACATAAAAGCTCCGATTGGCGTGTTTAAACTGTGTTAGATCTACATGTTTACAATGTGGGCTGGGTCGAAGCGTTTGGTTAAATCTTTTGTTATTTAGGCCACATGCTTAGTATCGAGGGTACTAAAGTAATTGTACCCATTGACTAGGGGTGGGTATTGCAGAGAATTTTCATATTGCGATACATTGCGATGCAAAAGCGTATATTGCGATATGTATTGCCATATATTGCAAGAAGGTTTTTTTCAACAACAAAATACGTATAATCGAGTTAATGCTTGATTTATAAAGCAAAAACACAGCAAAATTACTTTGCTTGATTAAGATTTAATAAAAACTTTTAATCATGACAAAATCAAATGTAAATAAAATTTGGCACAAATAAAAAAGGGAAAGGAACAACTTACAAAACGGAAATATCCGAAGTTTTCCGAGTGTTACGAAGTTTTTCCGAATTCAAGTCATAATAACGGTTTTCGATTAGCGTATCGCAATACGTATCGTTTTCTTGTCTGAACCGGTAAATATCGGTAAACCGGTTATATTGCGCAGAACTACTAAAGTAATTGTACCCATTGACGTGTGTGTTGTTCACTTCAGTTTGCTTCAAGAAAGGTAGAGTGGTAGAGCTCACAGATAGTGTTTCTTGGTATCAGTGTTTTGATACAGGAACATTGTTGCCACCCTTGCCGTGTAGGATAGAAGAGTACTGGTATTTCTGAACATCGGTATTACCACTTTCCAATGTTTCATCGTAATTGATAACAAAATCACCGTAATCTAAGCTAGCCTTCTCGCTTGATTGACAGGTCGCCATCTTTGTTTGTAAGCAACGGGTGTAGGGATACATTCAAAAGTTTTGGTGAATCGGTTTTTAAATTGCGACCGCATATGCTGATTATACGGTCGGAAATTTATAGCATTGCCCAATCAGAATTCGTGTTACACACTAAGTTGAATTAGAATGGATGTTAATGTGTCCCATGCGTCTACAATCTCATCAGTCAGTTTCAGCTGACAGGCAAACAGAAGAGACCTATATTCACACAAGACTTCATCGTATTCCGCAATGAGGAAGTTATCAGATATTAAAATACAAGTTTATTGCACCAGATTACATATTACTTAAACGTATTGATTATCTGGCAGCATAATCTAGAGTGTCTTTAATATAATGCTATTTTACTTTTAGATTGATTTATCATACTGAACGTAGAAGGATAGTCAGACAGATACTGTATTAAGCCTAACCTCGTACAACAGATGCAATACTGTATTGAGTCAATCAACAGGGTGACGAGGCACCCATTTAGGGTTATGAAAAACTATATACACCAATAGGTTTCTAAAATAATACATATACAACTAAAATATCCCACTTTAGCACTGTTGTATACATCGGTACGTAATGTTTTCCATTCTTCTGACAAAGGTTAGCAGTTTGGGGCGATAAATACCTCAGTTTAACGCTGGACGCAATAAAAGAAAGTTTTTCATCGTCCCTT